AATTAAGAATACTTAATAACTGCATGAATTATTTATTTATTTTATTCTTATCCAAATTTTAAGCGTTAATTATTTCTTTTATAAAATTTTAAAAAGTAGGGACTGAAACGCGCAAAGTTAATGAATGTAATTTAATTGAATGAAAATTTGTATTTTTATTTAAGTTCACTCGAAAATTAAGCGGCAGCGGCATTTATTTTATTTTTAACTAAAATGTTTTTTTTTCATATTTAATATTAAAAAAGATAAAAAACATAGTATTCATTATACCTGAAAGCTTTTACTTTTAATAAAATTCAATGAAAAATGCATTGAAATTTATGTTCGAAAGTTTGAAATATTTATGTATTTATTTTTCTTTTAATTAATACACAAAAAATTTAACACTAATTATTGGCAAATCCAAGGCTGCTAAATAAAAATGTTAATATGTTAAAGTGTACTTAATCAAACGTTTTTTATTGTATATTCATTAATTCATTTAATTTTTTGACTTTTTGGAATTTCGGGTGCGCTTGAGTATTTTTTGAGGATTTTTATCTTGAGGGATTTTCTCTAGATGTATTTGCAGATAACAAAAGCAGCCATGTTTTACACAAGAGAATTGTTAAATCGCTCTGCCAATTTTTGAACAAAACGCTTTCCCAAGCTTAATAAATAGCGAAATACCCCACACAAGCGGCTTGTCAAATATTCTTCAAACCTACTTTTCCCATTTCGCCATACACCATGCAAATATGACTCGTTCAAGCAAAGAATTTTAGTTTTCTTCCCGTTCACAATGTAAAAGGGTTTGGTTTTCTTCAATTTTTCTCTCTTGCACCTCATTCGGTAAAAATTCCGTTACACATTCACATTCACATTACCCTCAAACGGCTTGTCAAACCTTCAAACACCACATAAATAGCTTTAAGGAAAGGGATATTTCGCTTGGTTTGTAAAGCCCCTTGTGTGGTGTTTTTCGTTTTTGAATTAAAAGATTCTTCAGGTTCATATAAGTTTCCCAATTTTAAAAAATATATATCGGCATTGCTAATATAGCCCTCTTCTAATGCTTCAGTAGAACGTATAAGTTATACTTTTCGGGTTCCGAATAAATAACAACACTACCTACTATGTAGGTTTGATATCTATTTTGATCGTAACTTTATTTGCTCCGCATATGCGGTAGTAACGAGCTAAGAGCCTGGCAAAAGACTGAATATTAGAATTAAGACAAAGCTTACTCTACCCTACTTAATCCCAACTGTAGCAGAGACTGTAGTAGTTG